GGAGCTGTGTAAGATGTTTCCCTCCCCCATAATACATACATACACATAGAACACATGTAATACAGAAGTACGCACGCGCACACATACACACACACACAGAGACACACACACACACCAAAGAACACAGTTTTACTAAGAAAAAGGAAAGTAAGGATTCTAGATCTCAGGTCTATGGGGAAGGATTTTTTTCTTTGAAAACTACTATGTGTGTCTTTTAAAAGCTCTACTTAGTTCTTCATGACTTTATTATCTGAATTATGATATTTGACTTACAAATATACAAAATAATATAACAGTGAAATATTTTCTTAAAAATGTTTCAGAGTCTGAAAGCAGGTTAGCAGGTTATAACCTAAGGTGATAGACATACACACACACAGAGAGAAACTTATTTTCAATAAACATAGAAGAGGAGAGGTAATCCCAAGTTCATATTGTTTGCTGAAGTAGACTGAGAAACTGCTTATAAAATGTTAAGTTGATTGGATAGTCTAAACACAAGATATACTGAATATTAGTATACTAAATCTCTTGATTACCATGCATGATTTAGAAAATATCCTCTGTATCCAAAGGGATAGAAAACTAGAAAAATAATAACATTTTTACTTACATACTTAACACTTTACTTACACACTTAACACTTTTACAATTTATGAACTACCTTCATCGTCATCTCATTTGATTTTCCCAGCAACCCTTGTAAGTAAGCGGCTAGGTACATTTTTCCTACTTCTGGGATGAAGAAACTGTGCAGAGAACAACATGGTGAATGCGTGGTAAACCCATCAACAATCTAGGAATTTTCAGAACCCTACTTCTATACCTTTTCTTCATGTATAAGAATCCACACTTACTCTCTAAATTTTATTGGATACATATGGAACGCTCCAAAAGGATTAAGAAAAAATAACCAGTTTTATCTATCTTCTGTACACTGAGAAGTTCACCTAGGAGTAAGCATTTGTATTAGTCTGTTCTCACACTGCAAATAAAGACATGCTCAAGACTGAGTAATTTTTAAAGAAAAAGAGATTTAATTGACTCACAGTTCCACATGGCTGGGGAGGCCTCACAATCATGGAAGAAGGTGAAAGACAAGCAAAAGCACATCTTACATGGTGGCAGGCAAGAGAGAATGTGTAGGGGAACTGCCGTTTGTAAAGCCATCAGATCTTGTGAGACTTAATCATTATCACAAGAACAGCACAGGAAGAACCTGACCTCTTGATTCATTTGCTTCCCCCTGGGTCCCTCTCACAACACCTGGGAAACTACAATTCAAGATGAGTTTTGAGTGGGGCCGTATGCATATCAGCATTGAAACAATTATATGGCTTTTTCTCAATTTTTAATTATGAAAATTTTCATACAGCATTTTTTTTTCAAGATGGAATATTGCTGTCACCAGGCTGGAATGCAGTGGCGCAATCTCAGCTCACTGCAACCTCCACCTCCCGGGTTCAAGCAATTCTCCTGCTTCAGCCTCCTGAGTAGCTGGGACTACAGGTGCATGCCACCATGCCCAGCTAATTTTTGTATTTTTAGTAGAGATGGGGTTTTACTATGTTGACCAGCATGATCTTGATATCTTGACCTCATGATCCACCTGCCTTAGCCTCCCAAAGTGCTGGGATTACAAGCATGATTCAGTTTGGAATAACATATTTGTTTTCTACTGTACTGTACTGTACTGTACTGTACTATACTATACTATACTATACAGTAATTAGTTTAAAAATTAGAATACTCATATTAACACAAACAGTAAAACTGAGTGAAATTAAAGACTTCTTTGGAAGTGTTTCTGCAGTTAATTTATATCTCAGGCAGAGTATTGTCTCTAAAATTTGTCACCTGAAATACAAAGTTTTGTGCTTTCTGTGGTTATGATATCAATTTATTAAAATATTAGATTCATTTGTTGCAGTTTATTTGAAGTTATAAGGCTTTATTTTTCAATTCTGCAGTTATTATTTAAAGTAACTGCATAGCTCAGACAGCAAAGGTCAATAAAAAGATAGCTTCAGGAGATGTCTTGGTTTCATTCCTGTTCTTACTACCACCATACTCTTTGAGAATCTTTGAAATTCTTGCACAAAATATTTTAAAAGGATTATATATTTCCCTTTCCTCTTCTTTTTAATAAAAAAATCTAGTATACTATAAGCATTTGTCTCTTTCTTTTTTCCACTCACTTTATTTTGGAGACTACTTTTTATGCAGTCGTCCTTGTTATTCTGTTAGGACTGCTTAGTACTCTACTGTGTGGATGTACCTAAATGGACCATGATTTATGCATGTGTTGCTTTTTGAAATAACATACTGGAAACCCATACTGTGTAGTGCATGCTTCGAGTTAATGGACATGTATGTTTTGAAGGTGTTCTTCAGGTGATTCTATGTAGATTCCTATTAAGAACAATTTTATTCTCAAAGCAACTTTATGAGGTAGAGGTGATATGACCCAGTTTTAAAGATGAGCAAACTGGTTCTTTAAAAAGGTGAAGGGACTTATCAAGGGTTATTCTCTCAGTTAGTGATAAAGCCACATTTCAGAACCTTGTTAGAGCCTTTAACTCTCTCCACTCCACAGTTCTGTCTCCAAAAACATGATTCATGAGCCTAGTATAATGCCAGTCAATATAGAAAAATGAATTAATTTTAAAAAGTAAATGAATTAAGCAAATATAACCTATAAAGACCATAAAATTCTTCTATAACAGATAAGTAGGCTTCCCTGCCCCTTTCCTTTTCCTTTCCCTTCCTTTGCCTTCTTCATCTTGCTCTTTTGCCCAGGCAGGAGTACCTTTTTAGAAAAAGGCATGATGATAGAGGAGCCCCAAAATTGATTAACTGTGGACACACTGGCCTTTCCAATTGTCTTATGACAGTAAGCCAATTTTATCCATAGTAGGAGTCCTCAAGGTAAAAGGCACAGAGTATAGAACATTGGTCTTATTTTATCAGGCAAATTTAATGTACAAAAATTTGCTCAAGGGACAGTGGAGAAAGATTGATTTTCTCCTGAGTGATGCTAGCCTATTAAGAAGTGGCTTTGAAATTTTGATAATAGTTATTGAAAGCTGTGAAAAGATCTTAACATTCTTTTTCTGAGCATATTTCATACTATATAGTATTTCCAGGAGCAGAGAAAACCAGTGAAAATAAAAGACGTTGAACAATTTTTTAAATGTATTCATTCAATCAAAATATTATTAAGGACTTATTTGTATCAGGCACTTGGCTAGATTGAGGATGGATAATTTACTTTCAAAAAGCTAACAGTCTCTTCACTAAATAGAGCAATGCTAGAGAATGAGATTTGAAAAAAAAAAAAAAAAAAAAAAAAACAGTATTACAAGTATGTACGGAATATTATGGGAGACCAGAGAAGCACAACATACCATGCCACAGACTAGCATAGGAAGGATTTCTGGAGGAGGGCGTTCCTCAGTGTGCCTCAAAATAGGCAGAAGAATCAGAGTTACCAAGAGGGAAGGGGTCAGGAGACCCCAAGAGGGAACAAGATGAGCAAACTGTGTGCAGTTAAGACACTGTACAGTTTATTTGGGAGAACTGTCAAAAACCTGTTGTTTCTGGGAGAGAAGAGAAGGAGATGGTGGTAGAAGAAGCTAAAACAGTGGGCAGAGAAGCAATAAGATATCAGGTCCTGTGCCAGGGAAAAAGTTTGGATTTTATCTTTTAGAGTTTAAATTTTTCTGGGTCACAAGCCCATTTGAGAATCTGATAAAAACTGTCAACCTTCTCTCCATAAAAATGTACCTTTATAAATGCACTTAAAATTTTAAATATTATCTGAAGAGTTTGTAGAAGCCCTGATCCTGTCTATCCATAGACTTCTACTTGGGAACCAGCTATTTCAGACAAATTCTTACATACCTCATTGGCCTATCAGCATGGAGAGGGTTTAGTGATCTTCATAGATAGGAGCTTCACATTTAGTTATCAGTAACAGTTATCAAATGTGGGGAACAGCCAGGCCCTTCATTGATAATGAAATTGATTATCATGGCTAATGCTGACTGAGTCTCACCATGTGTCAGGCACTATGCTGAGTGAGTGATTATGTGTATTAACTTGTTTGTTTTTGTTTTTTGTTAACTTGTATAATAAGCTCACAACAATTCTATAAAGTAGCTATTCTTATTTTTCCAATTTCTCGGTGAAAAACGGAAGCATAAAGTATTATTTACAGCTAGTAAGATGCAGAGATGGCATGTACCAGGTATTCTGGTCACACAGACACTGTTTTATGCTCTTAATTGCTACATTATCCTCTCCCTGAGAAAAACAAATTGAAGCTGTTTTTAACAAGAGCCTAGACCAATTTGCCATAGATACAACTCAGTATGCAGATATTACATTGTGTTCATTGAACTTACATCTTAGACGTACAGATTGCTGCCCTTTAAAGCACTGTATTCATGACAGTTCATTGCAGCTATATTCCTGACAGAACTTTGAATAGTGTTAAATATGGCTTTAAGATTCTTAGCAGCAACACTTAATAATGCATGTCATCCTGGCCATCTTAAAGAATTTCATTTCTAAAGCTAAATAGGGTATAATTTTTTAAAAAAAATTATCGTGTCCTTAACATACACTTCATTTAAAACAACTTATGAACCAGATTCTAACTAGAACTTAGCATAAAATGTTGATGTGCAATATTAATAAATTGATGCTCAAATTTTCATCCTCTATTGCTTTTATCTACAGTGCTTTTTACTTGAAAATTTGCATTTATACCCAAAGAAGAGCTTCTTTTTTGGGTATAAATGCAAATTTTCAAGTAAAAAGATGTTCATGAACATCTCAATAGGTATAGAAAAAGCATTTGGCAAACTTCAACATCTTCTCTTGTTAAAAACTCTAAAAAATGTGTAGAAGTGAGAAAAAAGTTTATTGTAACACGGTTCTTCTAAAGAGGACCAAAAGAAAGGGAAGCATTCAGAATTGTGAAAGGGAACTAGAAGGAGACTGCATATGATATTTAATTATAACAGAGATATTTCATGAGTGAGTGTATGAAGAAGCAACATGGTGTCACAATCCAATGGTTTGTTAAGACTGGAAATTTTAAATTACTTCATCCAAGTTTAGGTGTCATAGGGCTTCTGGCTCTGAGAGGGAAGTTTGAGGCTTGACTGTGGTGTTATACAGACTGCCAATCCTGAGGAACTTTCTCAGTCTCAGTGTCTTCATCTGTAAGACTAAATGATGATTCACATAATTTTCATGAAAGTTAAAATGTTTGAAGCCATACACATGAAATTACCATTGTTGTGTTGTTTTTTGCTTTTGTTTGGTTTCTCTGCTTTGGGCTTCTAATGGAAATAGTTGTATTAATCATGCTTCTTATTTGATGGCACGTTATCATCACTCATCATCTTGTTTCATTGCTTGGTTTGGATTTGCTGATTCTTTTTTCTGTGAGTCTCCTCTAGGATTTCCTTTACATTACATAAGAAACCATTATAATATATCATATTTTATCTTCATTTTTGTATGTGATTTGCAAAATATATTTTAATGACTATTTTAAATGATATTTTTATACATACCATCAAAAGAAAGGGACTCTTAAAAACCATAACTACAGTGCCATTATTACACCTAAATAAAATTAAAAACCATTACCTAATATGATAAAATATGTTGTTTATATTTTCTCCATTGGTTTAAAAGGAATTTATAGTTTGTTATTTGAATAGGGATCCAAACAACGTCCACACATTGCAATTGGCTGTTTTTTTGAAATCTGTTTTAATCTGCAAGTCTCCCTAAGTCTCCATTTCTTCTTCCACTTCCTCTTCTTCCTCTTCTTGTTCTTCGTTGTATTCTTCTTCTTTTTCTACTTTAACTTTTTTTTGAAGAAACCTTGTCATTTGTTCTGTGGAGTTTTACAAAATCTGAACTGATTTTATGGTATCATGTCACTTAATTTCTGTGTTCTCTGCATTTTTGTAATTAATTCTAAAGCTGTAATCAGAACAGTTAAAAAAATGTTTGTGGGGAGAAGTTCTAATATAGGGAGTGATATGGTTTGGCTCTGTGTCCCCACCTAGATCTCACCTTGAGTGGAAATAATCACCATATGTCAAGGGTGGGACCAGGTAGATGTAATTCAATCATGGGGACAGTTACCTCCATGCTGTTCTCCTAATAGTGAGTGAGTTTTCACAAGATCTGATAGTTTTATACAGAGTTTTTCCGCCTTTGCATGGCACTTCTCCTTCTTGCCACCATATGAAGAAGGATGTGCTTCCCCTTCCACCATGATTATAAGTTTTCTGAGGCCTATCTAGCCATATGGAACTGTGAGTCAACTAAACCTCTTTCCTTTATAAATTACCCAGTCTCTGACAGTTCTTTTTTTTCCCCCATTTATTTATTTTATTGCATTTTAGATTTTGGGGTACATGTGAAGAACATGCAAAATTGTTACATAGGTACACACGTGGCAGTGTGATTTGCTGCCTTCCTCCCCATCACCTACATCTGGCATTTCTCCCCTTGCTATCTCTCTCCAGCTCCCCACCCCCCACCGTCCCTCCCCTATTTCCCCCCAACAGACCCCAGTGTGTAGTGCTCCCCTCCCTGTGCCCATGTGTTCTCATTGTTCAACACCCACCTATGAGTGAGAACATGTGGTGTTTGATCTTCTGCTTTTCTGTCAGTTTGCTGAGAATGATGGTTTCCAGGTTCATCCATGTCCCTACAAAGGACACAAACTCATCGTATTTGATGGCTGCATAATATTCCATGGTGTATATGTGCCACGTTTTCCCTATCCAGTCTATCGTTGATGGGCATTTGGGTTGGTTCCAGGTCTTTGCTATTATAAACAGTGCTGCAATGAACATTCGCGTGCATGTGTCCTTACAGTAGAACGATTTGTAATCTTTTGGATATATACCCAGTAATGGGATTGCTGGGTCAAATGGAATTTCTATTTCTAGGTCCTTGAGGAATCGCCACACTGTCTTCCACAATGGTTGAACTAATTTACACTCCCGCCAACAGTGTAAAAGTGATCCTATTTCTCCACATCCTCTCCAGCATCTGTTGTCTCCAGATTTTTTAATGATTGTCATTCTAACTGGCGTGAGATGGTATCTCAATTTTGTTTTGATTTGCATTTCTCTGATGACCAGTGATGATGAGCATTTTTTCATATGTTTGTTGGCCTCATGTATGTCTTCTTTTGTAAAGTGTCTGTTCATATCCTTTGCCCACTTTTGAATGGACTTGTTCGTTTTTTTCTTGTAAATCTGTTGTAGTTCTTTGTAAATTCTGGTTATCAGCCCTTTGTCAGATGGGTAAACTGCAAAAATTTTTTCCCATTCTGTTGGTTGCCGATTCACTCTAATGACTGTTTCTTTTGCTGTGCGGAAGCTGTGGAGTTTGATTAGGTCCCATTTGTCTATTTTGGCTTTTGTTGTCAATGCTTTTGGTGTTTTGGTCATGAAGTCCTTGCCTACACCTATGTCCTGAATAGTTTTGCCTAGATTTTCTTCTAGGGTTTTTATGGTGTTAGGTCTTATGTTTAAGTCTTTAATCCATCTGGATTTAATTTTAGTGTAAGGTGTCAGGAAGGGGTCCAGTTTCTGCTTTCTGCACATGGCTAGCCAGCTTTCCCAGCGCCATTTATTGAACAAGGAATCCTTTCCCCATTGCTTGTTTTTGTCTGGTTTGTCAAAGATCAGATGGTTGTAGATATGTTGTGTTGCCTCCGAGACCTCTGTTCTGTTCCATTGGTCTATATCTCTGTTTTGGTACCAGTACCATGCTGTTTTGATGACTGTAGCCATGTAGTATAGTTTGAAGTCCGGTAGTGTGATGCCTCCCGCTTTGTTCTTTTTGCTTAGAATTGACTTGGCTATGCGGGCTTTCTTTTGGTTCCATATGAAGTTTAAGGTGGTTTTTTCCAGTTCTGCGAAGAAGGTCATTGGTAGCTTGATGGGGATAGCATTGAATCTGTAAATTACTTTGGGCAGTATGGCCATTTTCACGACATTGATTCTTCCTAACCATGAACATGGAATGTTTCTCCATCTGTTTGTGTCCTCTCTTATTTTGTTGAGCAGTGGCTTGTAGTTCTGCTTGAAGAGGTCCTTTACTTTCCTTGTTAGTTGTATTCCTAGATATTTTATTCTCTTTGTGGCAATTGCAAATGGAATTTTGTTCTTGATTTGGCTCTCTTTAAGTCTGTTATTGGTGTATAGGAATGCATGTTATAGCAGCATGATAATGGACTAACACAGTAAATTGGTGCTGGGAGCGGGGCACAATTGTGGACAATGGACTAACACAGTAAACTGTGATAATGGACTAATACTGTAAATTGTGATAATGGACTAACACAGTAAATTGGCGTCGGGAGTGGGGCACTGAAAATGTGGAAGCAACTTTGGAACTGGGTAACAGGCAGAGGCTGGAACAATTTGGTGGGCTCAGGAGAAGAGAGGAAAATGTGGGAAAGTTTAGAACTCTCTAGAGACTTGTTGAATGGCTTTGACCAAAATGCTGATAATGATACGGACAATGAAATCCAGGCTAAGATAGTCTCAGCTGGAGATGAGGAACTTGGATGTGGATATAAGAATTGTTAACCTGTACCCCTGCAGGAAACAACTTTATTACCTAGAGTGCAGTAGTTATGTGGGGACCCTTTTGCCTTTAGTTTTACAAATTCTATTCATTTCCAAAGTTAGGTCAGCACCTTTCTTACCCTATACAATGAGGTTGTTCCATATATTTGTAATACAATTAGATTTTCTTGTCACAGTCTACATTTTTTAGATTTTCTTGTCACAGTCTACATTTTTTGCAGAGATTCTCTGATATTCTAAATGACTTTTTAAAAATTTGAGTACAGTGAAGTTCACTCTGTGTTGTAAAGCTCCGTAAGTTTTGATAAACCCTATAATATCATGTAGGCACCCAATACCTTATAATTTCAAGACCCTAAAAAAATTCCTTGAGCTTCACATATTGATCGCTCCCCACCTTCACCATACACCAGGGGCACTGATATTTTTACTGTTCTTATAGTTTTTCTTTTTTCAGACTGTTGCATAATTGAAATAATATGGTATGTAGTCTTTTTAGACTGTCTTGTTTAGTGATGTAAATTTAAGCTTCCTTCATGTCTTTTCTGACTATCTTTTTTACTCAGCATTATATTTTTAAGATTTATCTATTTTGCTATATATACATTGATTCTTTTCCTTTCAATAGCCCTGTGTGATGGACAACTAGTACATTTGCCCATCCACTCTCTGATGGACACTACATTGCTTAAAAATCTTATGCCCCAACCCCCCTCAGCTCTACCACCAGAAATAATGTAACAAACAGACTCTCATATATGCCCTTAAGGGTCTATGTATTTCTTTGGGCTATCTAGCTAGAAAAGAAATTATTAGAATGTAGGACATGTACTTGTTTTATTTGACTAGTGTCAGATTGCTGTCTGGAATGCTTTTAGCAGACCAGCAACTTATATTTTTGTGTTTGTGTGTTAAAATTAGCCCCATTTCCCCACCAATACTTCATATTCTCAAAATTTCTGGATATAAGTGTATAGGAATCGTGGTAACTCATTGTGTTTATTTAAATTTCTACAATTACTATTGAGTCTGAACACCTCTTCCTATGGTTACTAGATTTTACTCATATTTATATATAGATGATGTATTTTTAAACTGATTTGTAGCTGTTCCTTGTATATTTTAAATATGACTATCACATCAGTTTTTAGCATTACAGAATATCTTTTCTAACTCCATCATCTGTCTGTTAGCTTTGTTCATCATGCCTTCTGTTGAACAGATGTATCAGTTTAATCTTTGGCTTGTTGGATGATGGCAGTATTTACAAATATTCTGAAAACTGGGAGAGAAAAACTGGGAGGGTAGGCTAGAGTGGGTAACAGTAGTTTGTTTTGCTGTATTAGGTTAGAGACGCATGGAAACTTCAGATAGAATTCTTATGTAGTCAGACATGTGAGTCTG